GCCCAGTGTCTGTACTGATTGATTACTTCCTCGCAGGAGATACCAGTATAATCCAGAGAGAGCAGTCACAGTTTCCAGTGTTTATATTGCACATCCCGTTGACACAAGGTGGCTGGCAATCTAAAGTGGTGCATGTTCAGCACGTGATCTACATACTTTTTACTTCTAAGACGATATCTTACATTGTTAGTAGAAGCTATTTTGATAGGATGCACAGCATAATGCTTCGTGGTAAGTGTACAATTGCCTAGGCACATTGACTATGTTGTCCCTATGCATATAGAGTACCTACACCTATTCCCAAGAAGCTCAATAAGCAACACACAACACATAGCAGTGTACACAGTACTCACCACAGTCATACCGGAGCAAGTATGACAATGTCTGGGACTGTGAGGAACAACTGTAACGCCACATAAATGCCGTCCGATACTTGTGTGAGAGCATTCCAACAGCTCTGTTTCCATTCCAATGCAGTGGACCTCTCCCAGGAGGGGAGCTCTCTCACTTACCCCCAAACATACGGGCAGTTCACCTTCCACACACACGTGCATCTTTTTTACGAGAAGTTTGCTTTAAATTGTCACAACCCACGATGATCACTTGCTTACCTTCATAGAACCCCAACTGACGACACACAACTCTGGCATTGTCTGGACCCCAATCTACGGAACCTGTTGCAGACTCTGCCCCACAATCCATTGTCACCAACCTCCGTCTCCCAGTGGAGTTGGTCACTCCACCACAGACGAAACCGCAACCATCATCACAATCTGGACTACACAGAGGGATATTTGGGGAGGGGGCATAATGCAAGCCTATGGGTAGGAATTGATCTTCTCTTTTATTAAAACCCACAATACTTAGAAAGATGGCAAGTATTTTTGGTGAGCGAGCGCAGCAGTTTAAAAAATTAGGATTTCACAGACATCACGGTACGTGCATGCCCGACTCGCCCATCACTTAGACTGGGTAGGCCTCGCTTTTCTCGCCAACTAGTCCTTGTCAGTGCATTTGAATCCTTGTGCGAAGCTGGGCTAATAAACTAAAACTTAATGCGACAACAATTTCACCTACTAGAGCAATTGTCTAAATTGGATAGGTCAGAGCAGCAATCTCCATAGTCGTAACAGTCAGAGTAGCAGTTGCAGACGGGGGTTCTATCAGCTGTTGTAACAACCCCACACCTCCGTCTACTTTTGCACATCTCACAGTCTGTTACTAAAAATGGATAGCATTCTTTCACTGGGCCAAATATGCAAATTTTAGCTCTTATGTATGTATGGTTAGGTAAGTCATGTAGCCCTACCAAATTGATGGCCCAGACTTCTGCAGATGACATGTGCCTCCAGCCCACTCTCATCCCAGTCACTGGCACACACAGAGTACCAGGCTCCCTGATAGCAGTACTCAACTCTCCCTCTGGACACATCGTCTCCTCCCACCAGGTGGACTGTCCCATCCTCACATGTTGTGTCTATAGACAGTCATGATGCATATATACATACAGGCTACAGTTTTAGCTAAATAGAGGAGTACCCTCTATTTTAATCAGTAACATTGTTCTTTCTTCATGATGAACTAAGAAAGAGAATGAGACTAGGGCTAAGTATATGAGCGCTCTGCTTTCAAAACTTTATATATAAGACTTGCTGGAACGTCAAGTGGCATTTCCCAAGTGTTTAAAACCCTTGTTACGTCATTTAGGACTAAGTTTTGAGAAACGAAATAAGGTGTTGGCATAAGAACTTGGAAAAAACTGTCTGTGAACAAAGGACGTTACATGTATTGTACATGTGTGGGGGTTGTGTAGATGAGAGGTGCAATGATTGGTTCTTTTTTTCTTTCAGACAGTGTGTTAACGCATGCTTTAATGCATGGTATTTTCTTTAAGGAGTGAGTGTGCGTCCCCCCCCCCATCTTGCATGCACATACTTGTGCATATGACTCCAGCTTTTTCAATGCCCAAACGGCAATTGTGGATCCCTATTCCACTATGGCTACAGACGCTGTCTCCCTGAGCAATTAGAACTGTCGTTATGAGTGCAGAGACGTTTAATATTTCACTCATGCACACTATGTACTAAAAGAGTGAATGAAAGTTAGAGGGGCAAGTGTGAACACTCCGATCTCAGTGATCTAAGATGAACTCACCTATGAGACTTGCTCAAAGTTCTCTCTCTTGTGAGCACAGGGGCAATATTATCGTGTGCTAAACAGGCTTTATCTCTTAGGAGTGAAAGTGTGACTATTGGTCAGTTGCTCCCCCCTTGATGGCACATACTTGTGCATATGACTCCAGCTTCTTCAGTGCCCGCACGGCAATTGTGGATCCCTATTCTACTGTGGCTACACTCAGTGATTCTCTCCTCAGATCCAATACAGTGAACATCATCCAGGTGAATGGTGGACGATTGGCCGGCTCCAAAACTCAGCAGGGCATATGATGCTAGGACAAAGATTTGAAAGGCCCATTTATTCAGTACAGTCGCATAAATCTAGAGAAACTTACGTCCATTGAAATTCAATTGCCGACACACGACTTGAGCATCTCTAGAGTCCCATCTGTCATCACACACTGAGCCCCAAAACCCTTCAAGACATACTTCCACTCGTCCGTCAGTTGGTGTTTGGCCGTCTACCAGCCGAACATCTCCCTCATTACACCCTGAGCCTGATTTTTAAACGGTAGAAGACCATGTCGACACATGCTTTCAACCGTTTAAATCAGGCTATATTTATAAAATGTTACTGATGGACTCCTTGTAAAAACTCAATATGCCATTACCTTCCTCAGCTGAGCTAAGTGGGTACTAAGTTACAGAGCCATATGGTCGCATATGTCAGGAGATTTCACTGTCCTTGAAAAGAGGCGTGGCAATTGTCTCCCTAATTATCAATGACCACGCCCCCCTTATCTTTTTGCAAGTCCTTAGGACGAAATGTCACCCCATGCTCAATATCATTTCCTTGAAAGGTAGTGAAACTAACCAGTTTTGGGTATTCACCTCCCTTAAGTAGGTTCCTGATCACATTGTTTAGCTCAATAATGTTTTCAGGAATGTTTCGCTTTAGTGAAACATTGCTGTATGGCGTCACTCTAAATTATGAGCCATTTGAATCACTAGGTTGGTTCGCTTTGCTCACTGCAAATCCAGTAATGGGAAACATACTTGCACACATAATGATGACGTCATCTCTATGAGTGCAGGTTGGGTCTCCATCGGCTCCATTGAAGGAGCACTCTGACAGGGAGTCCTCATTGCCAGCACACACCACATTTGTTCATCGTATGGACAAGTCCATCAAGTAGAAGGCAAAATCACTCTCTCTGAAAAGTGACCCTGAGTGAACCGCGAGGTAAAGTGCTCTCAGTGAATCAGAGCAGTACATTACCTCCTGGGGCATGGTTCAGCTGTCTGCATGCTACCCTCACCAAAGCAATGGTTGCTGCATTGCCACAGACAGTTCCCCACGTGCCGTTAGCACACACTTCCAGGCGACCCACCTTGTGAATCGTATGGCGTTTGGTTCACTGTAGGACTCTTGTGCTGTTTGAAATTGTAATCCTACCATAGTCACATGATAGTAATGTTACTACGTATATAGTTTACCTTCACACTGAGCTACAGCTATATTAGCGCAGTCAGTGAAGGAGCCATAATCAGCTTGGGCACACTCGACAATGCTAGCTTCCGTGCCGTTGCATGTTATGTCATTCAGTATGACAGGAGCTACACCCTACGGCTTGGGCTGTGTGGGACTGGGCAAAAACAACAACTCTTTTCTCATTCTAACTATATATAAGAAACATGTGGATGGCCTTCCAGCTTGAGTGCACATCACTTGCACAGCATTTTGATCCCAGCTACCCCTCGGGGCACACAATAGGCCCCACTGCTGATCATGACACACCTGCACTATCTCCTCATTCAGTCTAACAGCATTTTCAGTGCAGGGAACTGTCAAGGAAGTTAATAGGTCATATCACACTCTTGGGGGCAACACCTTGGCGTACCATTAGTGCATCGCACTCCTGCATCTTCTAGGTGTTGGCAGTTTGTGATTTGTGTGGTACTCGAGTTTCTTCTTTGGTCAGCCGGGCAGAGCGAAAGCTGCGTCTCCATGCCATTGCACCTAAATCCAGCGTAGTGTATAAGACCCGAGCCGCCACCATATCGATAAATGGCATCGGCATCTCAAAGAAGCGCGTAATTATGACACATGCGCAATAGCACGACGCGCGGACGAACGTAAGGAAAATCGCGCCGTTTGGACCACTAGGTTGGCTTTCTCCCGCCCGCTCGCCAATAACCCTCTCTGCGCATGCGCGCCGAGGGTTAACCATGTGTGTCTCTTTACAGTACAGAACACCTTTTCAATTATAGTAGTAGGGGACAAGAGATCTTCAAGCACAAAAAGCTGGATGCTGTGATGTTAAGAATGACGTGTAGACAAGAGATTTCTAACGGAGTCAGGTTTTTATCTAAAATTACGTGTTTATTCATAACAACTGAGCTACAAGCTTGTGCAGTGTGCTGCTTTGCAGCTATAAACATCACTGAAGCTACAGCAACATGGTGCTTCACCGAGGGTTGCATTTTTGAAAAATAATGCGAGCATGAATAAATAATGTGAGAATAGATAATGGACAAATGAGCAGTGATAAATAAAGTGTGAGAATAAATGATGAGCAGCGATTTATAGTGTTAGAATATTAATAAGTAATGATTGAAAATATTATATGATGAGCAGTGCAGTGAATGTGAGATGTAATAAAGTTAGTGATCGATGCAGGACAGTCAAGGATTGTTCTTTATTCCCTCAGGGCTTGTCTGACAGGAAACTGTGACACTCTGACAATTCAAGGACTGGACGGCCAATGACGGGGCTAAGACTGTCCTCTGGAGATTGCCTCCTTCTCCCACCCAGCCAGAGTGCGTGAAAAAGACAAATGTGAAATATGAACTGTAAGACGAAGGCAACATAGAGTTGTAGAGCAAGCAGCACGTGAGCCTTTGAAAAAACCTGGAAATTACTGTAACGTGTTTACCGGATGAGCAGGATTTTGCAGCTAACCAACTAACTAAAGCTAACCAATCGTCCACCATTCACCTGGATGATGTTCACTGTATTGGATCTGAGGAGAGAATCACTGAGTGTAGCCACAGTAGAATAGGGATCCACAATTGCCGTGCGGGCACTGAAGAAGCTGGAGTCATATGCACAAGTATGTGCCATCAAGGGGGGAGCAACTGACCAATAGTCACACTTTCACTCCTAAGAGATAAAGCCTGTTTAGCACACGATAATATTGCCCCTGTGCTCACAAGAGAGAGCACTTTATGTATGAAAGAACAAGTATCATATGTGAGTTCATCTCAGATAACTGAGATCTGAGTGTTCACTCTCGCCCCTCTAACTTTCATTCGTTCTTTTAGTGCATATTGTGCATGAGTGAAATGTGTAACGTCCCTGCGCTCCCAACGACAGTTCTAATTGCTCGGGGAGACAGCGCCTGACGTGTGGGCAAGTCTTATGAGAGTTATCACCTCGACTTATGAGGCTGTTCATACTTCTTACTCTCATTCTCTGTCTCCATACATTATGTGCACGGGTTAAATAGGATACGGTTAAGAAAACCACAATTACCGAATACAATGGAGGGAACTCCCCTATTTGACTAAAACTGTAGCTTGTATGTCGATGCATCTCCATCATGACTGTGCAACCTTGTCTATAGACACAACATGTGAGGATGGGACAGTCCACCTGGTGGGAGGAGACGACGTGTCAAGAGGGAGAGTTGAGTACTGCTATCAGGGAGCCTGGTACTCCGTGTGTGCCAGTGACTGGGATGACAGTGGGCTGGAGGCACATGTCATCTGCAGAAGTCTGGGCCATCAATTTGGTAGGGCTACATGTCATAGTACTGTTACTAAAGATGGAACTAACATTTGGGCTTATGTACTACCACATTACTACTATTACTAATCTCTTCAAATCTACTGTAGTGAACTACGGACAGGGAATAGTCCAATTCACCATTCAGTATTCAGCTGCATATAGGTGACAGTGAGCTTGATGACTGTGATAGACTGCACTTGATACCAGCAGTGTCCACTGTGGCAGGAGTCAACTGTGAAGGTTAGCTCAATTATCTGGCTCACCTGGACGAATTTCCCCTACTGCGGCCTAGTACACTGACTGATATGTGTGTGGGGTGTGTGTGCTACTCTAAACATTATTTTGCATTCTGAAATAATGTGAATATACAGCACATTCTAATGCAATCTGCATTTGCAGGCTTAGAAAAGTGGGGGTATTTAGAGTTGTTAACTATGCACCAGTTGATCTCCTGGAGTAAATTCCCCTTGTGGGTTTTTTCAATAGTGAGAACAATAAAGGACCTACATCAACTAGACCCACTACATGGCATGCTCACATGATGCCATTTTATATACTCTATGTTGGTTTCAACTTCTGCAGCTTTCTGCCACACAGTTGGCATCACAGACTGTGAGATGTGCAAAAGTAGACGGAGGTGTGCGCTTGTTACGGCAGCTAGAACCCCTGTCTGCAACTGCCACTCTGACTGTTACGATTATGGAGATTGCTGCTCTGACCTATCCAATTTAGGCAATTGCTCTAGTAGGTGGCATTGTTGTTGCATCTGTTTCATAAGAGAAGCACTTAGCTCCATTCCTGAAACATTTGTGTACATAGTATTAAGTCTGTGAATTTCCGTTCAAGCCTGCACATAGATATAAAGCCTGACAATAAAAGAACAACCAAACTGTGTTCCTATTTCTAGACTTAGACTTAGATGCATGGATACACAAAAGTTGCAATAATGCTATTTGAACCAGACTAGTAATTTTTGTTTAAAATGAGTAGGGTCATTATCATTCCACATTTTTAGTGTTTCATGCAAAAAGGAGTGCTGGAACTGAGTAAAGGGATTTTGTAAGAGCTACTGGAACGGGTTGTAGCAGATTGTTGTAAAGTTAGAATGTCAATATGCCCCCCAAAATGTCCCTCTGTGTAGTTCCAGAGTGTGATGATGGTGCGGTTCGTCTGGTTGGTGGAGTGACCAACTCCACTGGGAGACTGGAGGTGTGTGCCAATGGATTGTGGGGCAGAGTCTGCAACAGATTCCAGTATTGGGGTCCAGACAACGCCAGAGTTGTGTGTCGTCAGTTGGGGTTTCCTACTGAAGGTAAGCAAGTTGATTCATCGTGGGTTGTGACAATTAAAGGAAACTTCTCGTAAAAAAGATGCGCGTGTTGTGGAAGGTGAACTTGCCCGTATGTTTGGGGTAAGTGAGAGAGCTCCCCTCCTGGGAGAGGTCCACTGCATTGGAATGGAAACAGAGCTGTTGGAATGCTCCCACACAAGTATCGGACGGCATTCCTGTGGCATTACAGTTGTTCCTCCAGTCCCAGACATTGTCATTACTTGCTCCGGTATGACTGTGGTAGTACTGTGTACACTGCTATTGTGTTGCTTGTTGTTTATTGAGCTTCTTGGGAATAGGTGTAGGTACTCTATGCATAGTCAATGTGCCTAGGCAATATTTACACTTACTACGAAAGCATTATGCTGTGCTTCCCCTATAAAGACCTTCTACTAACAATGTCCGACACATGTATGTAGTTTCATGTGCTGAACATGCACAACTCTAGAGATTTGCCAGCCACCTTGTGTCAACGGAATGTGCAATATAAACACTGGAAACTGTGACTGCTCTCCTGGATATACTGGTATCTCCTGTGATGAAGGTAATCAATCAGACAGACACTGAGCAAGCACATGATCTACTAGCTCTACTCTTATTACGTCCCCTCAGATGTACGGGAGTGTGAAGCAGACAATGGAGGTTGTGATCACATCTGCACTGACTTTCCTGGTGGCTACAACTGTTCATGCAGAACTGGCTACAACACATATGGAACCTCTTGCAGAGGTATCATAGATGCTAAATGTCCCAAAATTTTCCGGGATCATAATTTTGGGTTCATCCCAAAGTCCCGGAAAGACCATAAATTATCCCAGATCTATTCACTTTCGTGTGGTATACTTAGGCTCTGAATGGATTACCTAAAATAAAAGGTGGAGTAATTAACCCTCGGCGCGCATGCGCAGCGAGGGTTACAGTAGTTAAGCATCGGCGCGCATGCGCAGCGAGGGTTACTGTAGTTGGGTTTGTCTGTGTGTGTCTGTTACTCTCAATCTCACTTCTCGAACGTCTGTTCGTCCCAAAAAGGATACCATCTACCCAACGGGCGACGAAGGTCAGAAAATAAAGGCGGTTTTCTCTGAAAACGCTCCGTTGCAAAGCTAGAGCGCGAAAAAGCCAATATGCAAATACACAACGGACGGGATGGCTTACCACAGTCGGATCGATCCGCGTACTCTGCGTACTTCGGAGGCACCAGAAGATGCAACGCAGGGCGTGTATCGCCTCTCGCATGCTATCTAGTAGTGTAGCCCGTCAGACTCTGCGCGAGCTGGCAAGAGACCACAGGTAACAGCTAAAACTAAACCCAGCCCATCAATTAGTGGTACTGCGCAGCGTTTACTTACGCGTGCGCGTCATAGTGCGCCGAGGGTTTGCACATCAGTGCTTTTCATTACCCTCGGCGCGCATGCGCAGCGAGGGTACTGTAGTTGGGTTTGTCTGTGTGTCTGTTACTCTCAATCTCACTTCTCGAATGTCTGTTCGTCTCACAAACGATACGACCTACTTAACGGGCAATGAAGGTCAGAAAATAAAGGCGGTTTTCTCTGAAAATGCTCCGTTGCAAAGCTAGAGCGCTTCCGCCATTGTACAGCTAATGCTAGTCGGCCATTTTTATCGCTGCGGAAAATGCGCATGCGCTTATATTTTGAACAGGCTCGGGTCCGCTTGCTCTGTGTATCTTGAAGGCACGAGAAGGCACGAGAAGTCACAACGAAGGGCGTGTATCGACTCCCACATGCTATCTACTACTGTAGCTAGCCCGTGTCAGACGCTACTAGCGGGAGACCACGAGTATACTACATACTAATAGCAGCCCAGCCCATCAATTAGCGGTACCGCGCATGCCCAGTTCGCCGAGGGTTTGCAGTGCTTTTCATTGGGTTTGTCTGTCTGTCTGTCTGTTTGTCTGTTACTCTCAATCTCACTTCTCGGGTGTCTGTTCGTCCCAGAAACGATACCGTCTACCCAACAGGCGACGAAGGTCAGAAAATAAAGGCGGTTTTCTCTGAAAATGCTCCGTTGCAGAGCTAGAGCGCTTCCACCATTGTACGGCTAATGCGTAGTCAGCCATTTTTATCGCTGCGGAAAATGCGCATGCGCTTATATGCTCGACCGGGTCCGCTTACTCTGTGTATCTTGAAGGCACAAGAAGTCACAACGAAGGGCGTGTATCGACTCTCGCATACTATCTACTACTGTAGCTAGCCCGTGTCAGACTCTCTGCGAGCTACTAGCGGGAGACCACGAGTAAACGCATACTAATAGCAGCCCAGCCCATCAATTAGCGGTACCGCGCATCCCCAGTTCGCCGAGGGTTTGCACTTTAGTGCTTTTCATTCCATGAATGCATTATGTCGTGCAAGTTGTATAGAAATCCTGTTTGCTTATCCTGCACGTATGGAGATTGGGGGTTGTAAGTACTGTAAAACCGGAAATATCAAAGTCAACCACAACTTACAAAACGCTAATATTAATGGCCGCCAATATGTGGAGTCTGAGTAAAGCGCTTAATATAATGGCCGCCAATATTTCAGGCTTTACAGTATGAGGTATGCTAAAAGCTATGCTAGCTAGCTGTTTTACACATTGATGCAGACATTGATGAGTGTGGGGATGGGAGCCATAACTGCAGTCAGATCTGTGTCAACACTCCTGGATCATACTACTGCAACTGTCAGCGCGGCTTTCAGCTAGTCAATGGCACAGAGTGTGAAGGTGTGTGTGTGTGTGTGTTGTGTGTGTGTGTGTGATAACATACATACGTTTTAACCCGTGCAGATGTGGACGAATGTGAAGCGCTTTCTCCCAATGGATTCTGCAGTCAAGTGTGTGTTAACACTGAGGGATCTTTCCACTGTAACTGTACGGACGGATACCAACTCTTTCGGTCATTCTTATGCACAGGTCTATATTATTGCACTTTCTAAATAAACAGTCGTCAATATCGAACATGTCATCAGATATTGATGAGTGCAGTGAAGGGATCGATACATGCAATAGAAGTGGACCCACACCGGCTCGCTGTATCAACACTGAAGGGAGCTACAGGTGTACATGTGAAGAGTACGTTGGGTACCGTTTGTCTACCAGTGGTACCACTTGTGAAGGTATGTGTGTACTCTTTGAAACATACATTAATTTATTAGACAATGTGATTAAGTCTATGCTTTAAACCACCAAGCAAAGCAAGAAGTTAGTTTTTGCTTGTAAACTGTTTCAGATGTGGATGAATGTGCTGAAGACCCATCACTCTGTACAGAGACCTGTATGAACACACCTGGTTCCTACAGCTGCACTTGCCATGAAGGATATGAACTTGATGTGGATCAGATATCCTGCAGAGGTTAGTTGAGTTAATAAAAATACTTGGGCATGAAGAGTTTTTCTGAACAGATATTGATGAGTGCAAAAACACGAATGGTGGCTGTCAGATCTCCTGTACCAACACACCTGGCAGCTTCAGATGTAGCTGTGACCACGGATATAGACTGTTGGATGATGGATTACAGTGTGAAGGTGAGCAGATACGTTTCTGAAGATTTTATTTCATCTGACTCTTACAGCTCTCAGTTGTGATCCAGTTCTTGAAGCTCCACTGAATGGTGTGATGGAGTGTGACAGACAGACAGTGGGTGGGACTTGCAGGTTCACCTGTAACGAGGGCTACACTCTGAGAGGCTCAGACAGTCGGACCTGTCTCCCCTCCCTCCAGTGGAGGGAACCTCCTGCCATATGTGACCCTCCAATGTGCCCTCACCTCACTCCTCCTGACAATGGATTTGTGTTGTTCCTATGTACAAGAGAGGAGGGCCATCTGTGTCGTGTTGTGTGTGCCCATGGCTACAGCTTAGTGGGTCCTAGCAATCAGACATGTAGAAAGGATAACATGGGCAGTCTTACATGGAGTGATGGACCACAGTGTGTGGGTGAGTTTACTTTGCTAACATACTCATAGAGTGAGTCCTGTCTGCTTTGAGCAAGTCTATAAACAACTGACATTATTAACCTTCGGCGCGCGCATGCGTAGCGAGGGTTACAGTAGTCGTTCTGTTTTTCCGTCTGTCTGTCGACTCTTATTCTGGAACTGCACGTTACGAGGCGGCCCATGAGCGATACCAACGGCTTCAGAACGGAAAATTGTAAAATGGCGATTTTCCTGAAACGACTGCGATATGGCGTGAAAACAAGTGCTAAAGCCTAATTATGCACATGTCCCGAGAGATCGATCGCGCACGCTCCCAGCCCCGCTACGCGCACGCGTAAGCATCTCAGTGTTATTCCGCATGCTATCTACTACTGTAGCCTCTCCGCGAGGTACTAGCGGTTAGGGGAGACCACGAGTACAATCCCATCAATTAGCAGTATGGCGCATGCGCACTTCGCCGAGGGTTTGCACTTTAGTGCTTCTCATTTCTTTGGTTTCATTGTCTTGCGAACATAAAACACTTGTTTTTCATTCCACAAATGCAGTTGCACCCGCTATTGAAGTTACCCCTGCCGATAGAGAAGTTATATCTCCAATAACAGCTATGTTTTATTGCGAGGTGTTTGGTGTGTTCCTTTCAAATATCACGTGGCAGATGAATGGGAATGTCCTAGAGTCAGGGGGAGATATAGACATTGAAATAGACACAAGAGGCAATCTGAGAAACAGCACATTAACTATTCAAAACACGGTACCAAGTGATGCCGGAAACTACACGTGTCTGGCTGAAAATGATGCTGGAAGGGCTTCTGCATCAGCTCAGCTGACCGTAAACTGTATGTCAATTTCTTAATGCAACTCTTTATTGGCATTGAAAGTGTCTTTTGTTGTGCAGTTCCTCCAGCTATAATGGACCCACTATTGGACTCAAACGTCACAGTAAATGAAGGGATGACTGCAGTGTTTTCATGCGCTGCCACCGGCATACCTGCTCCCACGTTAACCTGGAGAAGGAGCGGATTCTCAAACTTCTCTGTAGACCCGCGGGTATCACTGGGAGTGCCAACCTCTCCAGAGCCGCTGTCCACACCAGATGGTACCGTCTATTTCGTCAGCCGTCAGCTAAATCTCTCAGACACGCGAGACTCTGACTCTGGAACATACTATTGTGAAGCTTCCAGTGGCGAGGAACAGAGCCTCAATGTGGAAGTCTCTTTTCAATTGATTATTAGAGGTATGTATCCTTTTATTACATAATGTATATATTCTTCGCAGTATCAACCAAATCCGCGCAAGTGAACGAGACAGTTATTATCTTCCCACACAGTTGCACCAGTTATAACAGCAGCTCCTGTGGACATGGCAGATCTTCAAGGGAGCACCGTAGTGTTATCATGTAATGCCACAGGGAGACCACGACCTGACATAACATGGTGGGGAGAAGACGACAGCAGTGGGAACTTGACTCAAATTACTGATGTGACGGGGAAGACCCTAATTGATTCAGAGGTGATTGGTGGAGAAAGGGGATGGACAAGTAACCTGGCAGTAACGGACATTCGACCTTCTGATGCCGGTGTGTATATGTGTCGAGCTGACAATGATGCTGGACAAGCTGAAGCACTTGCAACACTCACCGTGCTCGGTGAGTTATCTCTCTTATTATTATGTGTCGATGTAACTACTATTTCAATACAGTTGTTCCTGAGATTGTTTTCCCACCTGAGGATTATGAGTATACGACCATTCAGTTTATGGAAACTGTGTTTGAATGCAATGCCACTGGGATCCCAGCTCCAACCATTCAGTTCTTCCTCGATGGCTCTCTTCTGGAGTCAAACGAAACCTTTTCCATCCTGGATCCGTGAACGAGGTCATTGACGTCAGTGGTGAAGGCGACCTGGTGCATTTGGTGACCAGAAGACTCATCGTCAGTCCCACACTTGATGGGGACTCCAACAACTACACTTGTGTGGCCACCAATGATAACGGAACTGATTCAGTAGAGTTTGAATTGATTGTGTTTGGTAAGCCACACTATAGTTTCTCAAACTTACTATCTATTTACCCTTTATCGATTAACAGTTGCTCCTGTAATAGTGGGTAGGCCAGACTCCCAGATAGTTTTGAAGGATGATCGGGTTGTACTGTCGTGTGTGTCTGAGGGGAGACCTCCTCCAGCCATCACATGGTTGAAGCAGTTGGTTCAAGTAGAGGAGAGTGATAGAGTCAGCATTGATATCGTGTTGCGAGGGGCACGTCAGGTTGCGAGCAATCTCACAATTGAGCCTGTGCAACCCCGTGACAGTGGGCAGTTCACATGCATGGCCTCCAACGTGGCGGGAAATGATTCACAGTCAGCTGATCTTACGATGCACGGTAGGTGTATTGGTAGATATTTCCAACTTTTTGTTCACTCAACGTGCTTTTATCAGTTTTTTCTGAAGTCCAGTTCTTGGTTCCCTCGCCATTGCTCACTGTGAACCAGTCAGATTCAGCTACATTCATGTGCAATACCACTGGTGTCCCAGCCCCTGTCATTAACTGGTTCGTGGGAGACCAGAGGCTAAGTGATGTCCTCCTCTCACGAGTTAACATCACAGAGACTGAGGCTCGTGAATACCCCACACCTAATGGTGACGTGTTTGCAGTAACAAGTGTTCTAACTATCGAACCAATCATGGGCAATGACTCTGGTACATACACATGTAATGCATCGAACACAGTTGGTGCCTCAATGATGCCAGCTAGTGATGAAGAAAGCACTGAATTATATGTCCAAGGTAGAGCCACCTTACTCCAACTAATCTATTAACAGATGTTTTCTTCTTTAGTTCCCCCAGTTGTTGTCGCTATTGTGGAAGAAGTGATTGGAAATGAAAATGAAAGTTCAACACTTCAGTTCAGGATTGACAATGCTGAACCTGTGGTCGAGCTGAGTGGACTGAGGTGGTTTTATTCTGCCGAGTTATCTCAATCAGCCACCATGGAGGATATTACTAATAGCACCAACAGAGGATCCCAACTCATCACCTCATTCAGTAGCGATGGAAGGTTCTTCAACCTAACAATTGTCAACATCCAACAGCATCGCCAGGAGGGAGAGGAGACAGACCAAGGACGATACTTCCTGCAGGCCACCAACCCTGCCGGAACAAGCTTGGCATATGTGGACTTTGATGTGTATGGTAAGCCAGCCAGTGTATTTTTAAGAACAGTTAACTGAACCACTCTTGCTTTCAAAGCAGTCACCAACTATACGTTTTTAACCTCTCAGAGCTACCAGAAGTCAGTATTGATGGGGTTGACCCTGCTGTTACTGGAGATAATGTCATGCTCACCTGTACTGCTACTGGAGACACTCCACTGGTCTACCACTGGACCATGGAGGGCAGTACAACTGTCCTTAACTCTGACAACACCACTGGAACTTTGGAACTGGCAGATATTCAAGAGAATCAGTTTAGGACGTATGTATGTACAGTGACCAATGATCTGGGGATGGCTACAAGTGAAGTGATTCTCGAACAAGCAGGTATTCTGCTAACCAATTCTCCCTGCTAATTGCTGTGGCAATAGACTCTACTAGCCTAGCGGAGCCTTTGCTAGCTATAGTGTGTCTAAGTAGAACTGTGCTATGTGACACTGCCTCTACTTCACAGTGGCTCCAACTGCTGGCAATAACGCAACACTCACATTCAGTGTTGGAGATGATCTAGTTTTGATGGCAGTGTTTTCAGACTTCAATCTGGAGCTGGATAGTATAGTATGGACCCAGAATTCCTCCATATCACTGATGGATGGAGTCACCATATCAAACACTGCTCTGAGTCCACCAAGTGCTAGCTCCACACTGACCAGACCTCGCATCACTGGAGTCTCCTACGGAGGAACATACACTGCCACTGCCAGCAACAGGGCTGGATCTAGTTCAACTACGTTCACTGTCCATATTATTATTATGCGGGTACAATTTCAACTTCGACTTGTGGGTTTGTCTGACTGCTTGCAATGGAGAGTAAGCTATAATACTGTATTTATAGCTATATCCAAAATGTCTCTTTTTCAACCCAGGAGATACAACCAAATGAAAAGAAGGAAGCAGTGATCACAGGTGTAACAAGAGCAGTGAATGAGCTCTGTCAGTGTGGCTTTTCCCGTGACTCATTCAATGAAATTGAGGTCACAGCTGGTTTTCAGTGTTTTGAGGCTTCTCCCACTGCAGTTACCTTTCGTGCTGAGATAATGGATATCGCAAAAGCAAACATCTCGCAGCTGATAGGCTACATGGAGCAGTGGGTGACCTCTCAGCCTACTATTGTGGTCCTCGGTTCAAGACTAAGTATTGATAGCGACTGTGAGATTGAGATTGACAGCTTCAGTGAGCCTGAGTGTTTGGATGCAGATCGTGAGACTCCTCCAGAGAGAGTTGATGGTAACAGGATTGGGTACATTATTGGAGGAATCTTAGGTGGCGGTCTTTTGGTTTTGTTAGTAGTATTACTATTGGTAGTTGTACTTTTTTTAAGGAACCACAGAAAAGCATCTTACAAAGTTGAAACTGACTCTGTCTACGAGTAAGTTGTATCAATTTTTCTCTATAACGTTCACAAGTTCTTATTTTAGGACTATACCTGACTCTCCTCCGATTGTTGCAATGGAATTGACCAATATTTCTGCATCCCGACATCTGCCTGGCAGTCAAATCAGCCCTACGTCCATTCCGACAGGGGAGAATCCATCTTATGCTATTCACATTGGTACACTGGATAATCCAGCCTACATTAGACAGAGGGGCACCGTGGATGGTCCAACCTATGTTAATCTACAATCCAAGAAACATTAACACAGGTGCACAGCCACCTACAGCTATAACAATACAGCCACAGAACCACTGTAAACACTTTAATGATAACACTGAGGCATGCTTCTCAGCTGCAGTCAAAATATACAAGTGGAAAATCATTTCTTCAAAATGAAGGGGATATGGGGGATGGCTTGAAGCACCAAAAAGGAAGAAACAAGGGTCATTACACAGCAAAGATGCACAAAGCCACATGACACCATCCCTACCATATCTTTGTAAACTTTGCCTATGAACAATAAAACAAAGATATAGGGATGGTGTCATGTGGCTTTGTGCATGTTTGAACCCTCGGCGCGCATGCGCAGCGAGGGTTACGGTAGTTGGGTCTGTCTGTACTGTGTGTCTGTTACTCCACATCTCACTGCTCGAGTGTTTGTTCGTCTGCACAAACGATACGACCTACTTAATTAACGGGCAATGAAGGTCAGAAATTATGAGCGGTTTTCTCTGAAAATGCTCCGTTGCAAAGCTTTTTAGGCGCAGACTGCCAAGTTGCTCCTTGTGCAAATCAACAGCAAAAAGCAAGCTAGCCAATTAGAAATGCGTATACTGACTTACAGAAGGCACTGGAGGTTCCTCTACAGGCATCCTGGCTTAGTCTCGTGAACCAGCGAGACTACTGAGTAATGCGCGCACACCGCACCCTAGCTCGGTGCATGCGGCTCACTAATGCTGGGTTAGCAGCAAATGGCGTTGTTCAGTGACTACCGTGGAAGAGCCCAACGATCTGCCGTAGTGACTTGCGGCAAGAAAGAAACGATCGCTTGATATTCGTGCACACCTCCGGCGAATTGGGAGACGTTCTGTGAAAAAATCAACGCTTCAACTGCTTCCGGTGGCTGCAGGTTTTTAACAACAGAGTTGATTATGTTTGTTTATCAGTTTCTGTCTCTTTTGTTTGCTGGAAACCTCGCTGAGGTGCCTTGACTTACACACACACACCCACCAAAACCCACCGTGGTAATTATATTGATTATGGTAGATTCATACGAACTGTGTACAAAACACAGAGCGTCAGTAGACCCTCCATGTATGTAGGGATGACACAGATGAAATCTCACGTGACCCATGTACTTACAAACTAGCTCCACACGAGTTACAGGGCCTTCCAAGGCATTCCATCTTTGTCTCTTCCAATGCTAAATTATATTTTCACTGCCACATTCATAACAACTACATGCTGATCAAAATTCAAATCGACACAATACAAACCTCAAAATGCATGCACAAATTACACAGTACTTTTATTAAACTACCATAGCTACAATGATCAGCACAACTGTCAGCAATCACTCAATGATGAAGTCAGTTTTCAGGTTCCTTCTGTTCCTGCCACAGCTGCTGCTGCTGTCTGTCTCCTCAGCCTTGTCTGTGGCAACGTGCTTCGCTTGGAGTCACCAATGAATGCTGTGTCTATTATTTCATCTGCCATTCTTTCAAGGTTGACTGCTTCTGGTTGTGTTGAAATGTACAGGTATGATTCTCGGTACTCAGTTCCACTGTTGTCTATCAGATTCTGAAACACCAATTGAAGGCCAGATGTTGGACTGTTGGTCAGTTGTATGAATGTGACATGATTGATGCTAAAGACATTCTGATATCACTGCCATGGCCAATTCAAGCGTATCAGCAAGTCTTCAGCACTTTCCAGTGTTCTTCATAAATGTCAGAGAATTATTGTGTGCATTCAGACAGTTTCTTAACATCACACCAGCTGTCGCGCCTATTCTCATAATGCTGTGCTCATCTCCTGCCCTATTCTGTGCACGCTTGGCAAAGAAGGTTCTCTGAGCTTCAGAAACTCCTGAAACACGTCTCTCCTGTTCTTGTAAACTGTCTAAGACTCCTTAGCTTCCCCACTCTTTCTCTCTCTCTCCCTCACCTCTTCTCTGGTGCTGCATGGCTCCACACATTTCATTCCTTGCACTACACGAGGATCTGGTGCTCTCACAGCACACGTCACATTCTCACAACATGTGCTTCGAATAAAGAGTTAAAGACTCTGACAATGCAATTGTTGACGGTCTTTCGTAGGAAGTAAGGTTTGGAGCAGTGCCTGCACACTACTCCAGGCATACAAACATCTATACAAATCTCTTCAGTGCACAATTTGTCACTGTCCTGTAGCAGATCTTGACTGTCATTCAACTGCTGCTCTACCTCTCGATAGCTCATTGTGGCTATCATTTACTAGCAGCATCTCTCTTTGCTCAGCCACGGAAAAATTTGCAACTGTCTGGTTGTATCGTTCCTCAATAGCAAGAAGCCTCTCTTCTGACTGATTAAGAGACATCTGAGCTACTTCTCGTCGTGAATTTGCCGATTCGGCCAGCATTCTCAGCTTCCTTGTAACCACTTCACTCAGGCTCTCTATAAAGCTGCCACTGCCTGAGAGTAGAGAACTGTCCACAGTAAATTCCAGATCCTGCCAGTCAGTCTTGTTGGAAGGTGCAGTGATGGTCAGCTCAGCTGGATAGCCAAACACACTGCCACTACTGGTGGAGATTGTGAGCTGATCATTCTGACGGTGGCCTCTGACTCAAACACTCTCCAAACAGAGTCACCTGTACTGAATGAAACTGAGAGACTGGTCCGGAATCCTCTCTTCCAAAGACAGTCACTACATCAGGACCTGCAGAGTTGGCCTGCAGTTCAAAGATGTTCCCAAGAGGCAAGCGATCGTTGACCAACTCAGATTCAATCACAAGAGCTGGGTCTGGAACTTCAAGGAAGTTACTGGTGAAGCAGTTAGGATTCTCTGATCCAATGAAGGTGATGGTGTGGGACATTTCAGGCAAGATGAGGTGTCCAATAGCAAGAAGAGGACACTCAGTGTGTAGACTGAGACCAAGAGCTCTGTAGTCACTGGTTATTGGCAAGAAGGCACTGAAGCTACAGTTCTGAGTGATCTCAGTGAATAGAAGAAGTCGCGTGAAGAACAGCTCACCAGGTTGTGGCTGGTAACTTGCTGTGAATGAAAGTCCATATCCTTTATTATTGCAAGGATCAACATCTAAGTAATATGAAGATGAGGGGAAACGGTAAAAATTATTAAGAATATAATCCTTACTTCCAATGTGAACATAGGCCTCTGCGCTCCTTGGGCTGCTGATTTTAAACATTTGTCTAGTTCCAGCAATCATGCTGGTTACCTGCAATGTAACTTCTCCATTGAGTAGTCCCTCTCGCTCCTACATGACACAAGAATAAAAGAATATTTATACAGTCTTTTACTCACTGCATAGTTGAGTGAAGCATCTCCATTAAACTCAACCTCTAGTGATCATATCATCATGAAATTTGGATAAAGATATCCATTAACTGAACAAATCAGTCTCTATGTCAGGAAAGGATCATTCCACTCCATTCAAAATATAATCGATACTTGAGGAAACAGACTGTTTGAAGACTGGAACAGTTATTGAGGAGAATGTTCCACTGTCTGTCAGTGAACCCACGGAGATAATGGGTAGACTAGAATGTCATTGATTGGCTGGGAGAGCTGCATGTGAACTGGAGACTCTGATTCATGACACAAGTCAACTGCAAAACACATGACATCTCCAGTGGTCCCAGTCTCATTGTTCTCGTCTGTAGTCATATCTCTGGCCATCAATCAAGCTGATAGAGTTTGTCATATCTCACATGAATACCTACTACCTTCCAGGTTTGTTAGTTTGTCAAACCTTCAAATGAGGAAATTTGCTCACTAGGTCGAGTGACTGGTGCAAACAAGTCGTTTTTAGTTGGTGCAATCGACTCTAACGACAACTCTAAATCCACAAACAGCTCCAACCCAGGATGGAAGTAATGTCTGGATTTGATTGATGTAAGTGAAGGCCAAGGCTCTAGCTTGGAGAAAACTCCACAGTGTCATCTGGTGTGTGATCATAACAGGAGCAATGGCTATTGGTACTGCTGCATTCATGGCAAGCTACACAGTCACCAATTTGCAGCCTTATGTCATTGATGTAAGGTTTTCCGGAAGCATCTCTGTATCTGAAGCTGGAGAGAGAGGTTGGTAGAGATAGGTTACTACTCTGAACAAAAATAACACCAGCATCTGTTCTTGTAACACCACCACTTGTGGTAGTCCACTGACAAGGTGACAGCAGTGATATTGTCTGAGTGGAGGCCCCAGGACAGGATGGTGTGACATGATCATCTGCACTGCAACAACTTGGCTGCAACAGTCCTCTTGTGAGATTGAACTGTTCAAAATACGATGGTCTCTCGTTATATATCCTCCAGTTACTAATACATTTCTCTCGCTTGGCAGATAGATGACTCGGTCAGTATTCGATGGCAGACTAAGTGTGAGTATACCTATTGCACCTCTTACACTTGTTGGATTCCTTTCTCGTCTTTCGATATCTACTATTGCCCGAAATTTCTCCTGGTTGGGAAGTTTAATATCTACTCTTTGTCTGTCAACAAATCCATCAGGGAGTTCATTAACATTGGTGTACAGCACGATCGGAATAAATACTCCATCAGTCACTGGTGGGATTGGTGGGAAGTATACAATTACTGCTCCACAAGTCTGTCCACCATAACCAGTTGCAGTTCCATTGCATACACATCTAAAGTCAGTACCAGCCTCGATACAATATCCTCCATTCAGACAAGGATTTGGGTAACATAGACCACTCTCTGAATAGAAACATTATTAAGTGCTTTCACTTGGAACATTATAGTGTTTTACCTATAGTTATGGAAACACTTTGCATACAAAATTAATCATTTTTACATTGGAGCGGCATTGAACACAATTGCTTATGTGGCATGGCTTGATAAACAAGTATTACAAGTAAATTAAAAATCCTGCGAATTTAAAAAGAGGCATATAGGGATGGTATAAAAAGAAAGGGAGACAAGATAGGGATTGGATACATGAAGCATGGTTAATGAAAAGATTTGAGTATGCTGACACCCCCCAACCCCATCACACATCCCATATTGTTGCCTGGTGTGCTACTCTTATAGGGGTCTAAAGGTACTAAGCAAACATTCTTTCACCGTTGTCCCTGTTGTTTTTAGTAACATATATACTGCCACATTCACTTTATAAAAACTCCACTTGGACTCTATAAGGGTGTTGGTTACTCAGTAGTGCATTGTAAGTTCTGAGTATTGTAATGGTGAATGTTTAATACTTCACCTAGGCAACAATATAGGGATGGTGGTGATGGGGTGGGGGTGGTCAGCGTACTCAATCGTTCATTAACCATGCTTCATGTATCCAATCCCTATCTTGTCTCCCTTTCTTTTTATACCATCCCTATATGCCTCTTTTTTAAATTAGCAGGATATTTAATTTACTTGTCTCCACTCATTTTTATATTAGAGAGTCGGTAGACTCTCTCTATATAGGGATGACGCGGGTGAAATCTCACGTGATCCGCGTACAAAACGACTAAAAACTCGGTGAGAATCACTTCCTAGGCATTCAAAACATACTAGCAATAGTCTACGGGCCCATATCTACCTATACATGTCCCACAAGAGCTCATACGCACCTTCAGTCGTCCACGCGAGAATTCGCTCATACGCGATTTCACGATTTTCGTGTCATCATATTCGTCATCTTCTTCTTCCTCTTCTTCTTCTTCTTTAAACCCGCTATCTCCTTACCAGTACCAGTTCAAGCACTGATTTTTTCACTGAAGGTCTCCAATTTCGCCGGAGGTGTGCACGGACATCAAGCGATCGTTTCTTCTTGCCGCGCCAGTCACTACGGTAGATCATGGAGCTCTCCCTGGTCGACCTGAACGACGCCATTTGCTGCTTACTCAGCATCAGTGATCCGCGCGCATGCGCCAGGCAGGGGCGTTGTCCAATGTGCTTGCGAGCGTATTCTACCGGGCGAGTGGGCAGACCTGCAGAGGAACTGTCAGCCTCCAGTACCTTCTGTAAGTAAGTGTGCACATTTCCAACTGGCTATCTTGCTGTTGATATACACGAAGAGCAACTTGCCAGAGTCTGCGCGGTGTTACGCGAGCCTTGCGGGGCACTCAGTCAAATGGCCTTCATTGTTTGTCCCCCCCCAGGTTGTAGCCTGATTACCAAAGCCTGCCAATGAAACCACAACCATGTGCAATAATCTAATTACATCCTTGTTGAAGACAATACATGGTATCTAGCAGCCCCATTAGCTACTACTTTCAATTGTCTACGGTAGCCTATCTACAACATAGCCATGAACATCAGAGTGACTGTAACAATAAATGCAGTGTTGCCAGAAGCTGTTAAAAATAGTGAAACAAGTGGAAAAATCATTTCTTCAAAATGAAAGGGGGATATAGGGATGGCTTGAAGCACCAAAAAGGAAGAACAAGGGGTCGTTACACAGCAAAGTTGCACAAGCTACATGACACCATCCTGTATCTTTGTTTTATTGTTTATAAAGCAAAGTTTAATATCAAACAATATCAAACAAAGATATAGGGATGGTGTCATGTAGCTTTGTGCAACTTTGCTGTGTAACGACCCCTTGGTTTCTTCCTTTTTGGTGCTTCAAGCCATCCCTATATCCCCCTTTCATTTTGAAGAAATGATTTTTCCACTTGTACTATACATATTATCTCTGTGGAAGGGGCAAGCCCCCTATAAAAATTAAATAGAGAAAAATGCCTGTGTCGTGATGGAAATGAATATGCATACCATGTTTCATCTCCATGTGGTGCTGCCGTTGGCAAGTTTGAGGAGTGAAGAAGTATTTAGGAAAAGTGCCTGAGGCTATTTGTTGTTGTGGTCATCATGGAAACGATGTTACACACATGCGTACCAAGTTCCATCTCCATGCGTGCTATAGTTAGCAAGTTTTAGTAGTGAAGAAGTGGTTTTAAAGAAAATTGCCTGAGGCTTTTTCAAACAAAATTCAGTCGTCATGGAAACATGTAATTGTCATGGGATGATATATAGGCATCATACTAAGTTTCATCTCTATGCGTGCTAGCTACCATTGGAATGTTTGAGAAGTGAAGAAGTTATTTTAAAGAAAAGTGCCTGAGGCTATTTGTTGTTATTTACAAACATGTATTGTTGTGATTTTGATGTTGGCTATTGAGTATATTGTGTATAACTCTTACCAATTGTGAGTTATACTGAATTATGTAGTATGCCCATTATAAAGTATTGCCCATTATAACGTATTGCCCTGGGGGCATTTTGTTGTTGTTTACAGTAACAACATTGTTTACAAACAAAAAAGTATGACGTTGCACATGTGGTTATCGATATGTACATTCCTACAAAATTTCATGGCTTTATCTCTTTCGGTTTTTGAGTTACGCTGGTCGAACAGGAAGAAGAAGAAGAAGAAGAAGATGATGATGAACAAAACTCCCTATCATAGCCCCATACATCTATGATGCTAGGTACCTGGTCAATCCCTATATACTACAAGTACTACCGTACTTAGTGATCGGGAAAAGCATCCAACTACCCAACCATTGCCTTGTCAAAATTGCAGAGTAGACTCACCCACACACTGTGGTCCATCACTCCACACAAGACTGCCCATGTTATCCGTTCTACATGTCCGACTGCTTGGACCCACTAAGCTGTGCCATGGGCACACACAACATGACACAGATGGCCCTCCTCTCGTGGTAATGGTAACGACACACATCCATTTCAGGAGGAGTGAGGTGAGGGCACATTGGAGGGTCACATATGCAGGAGGTTCCTTCCACTGGAGGGAGGTGAGACATGCCGACTGTCGAGCCTCTCAGAGTGTAGCCCGTCATCACAGGTGAACCTGCCAAGTCCCACCCACTGTCTGTCTGTCACACTCCATAGAACCATTCAGTGGACTTCAAGAACTGGATCACAACTGTGAGTGCTGGATGTTGCCATGTCAGAAACATGGTCTTTTTCCATGCATACCTTACCTTCACACTGTAATCCATCATCCACGTCCTATATCCGTGGTCCAGCTACATCTGACGCTGCCATGTGTGTTGGTACAGGAATGCTGGCAGCCACGTTCAGTTATACACTCATCAATATCTGTTCAGATAAACTCTTCATTGCCCGCCAAGTATTTTTATTAACTCACTAACCTCTGCAGGATATCTGATCCACATCAAGATCAAATCCTCAGGGCAAGTGCGCTGTAGGAACCACGTGTGTTCACACAGGTCTCTCTACAGAGTGCGGTCTTCAGCACATTCATCCACATCTGAACAATGTTACCTGAAACATACTCTGTGTTGCAGAGAATGTATACATTCATACTAAAGTGGTACCACTGGTAGACACAACGTACGCAAGTACTCATCACATGTACCCTGTAGCTCCCTTCAGTGTTGATACAGACGAGCGTGTGGGTCCATCTTACTACTCTTGCATGTGCTCGACTCCCGTCACTGCACTCAGCAATATCTGCAAAGGACGTTTCTCCATTCTTCTGTCAAACCTGTACCAAAAACATACCTGTGCAGAAAGACGATCCAAACAGGCGGTTATCCTCTCTACAGTCACAGTGAGACGATCCTCAGTGTTAACACACACTTGATTGCAAAAAAACCATTAGAAGGCTTGTTCACATTCATTCAATCTGCAGTAGATGTATGACAGTATGCAGTCAGCTTCGTGAACAGATATATCAGTACCTTCCAACTCTGTGCACCGACTACTGAAAGCCACGCTGACAGTTGCAGTTGTATTCCATGAGTGTTGACACAATCTGACTGCAGTCATGGCTCCCACCCCCGCACTCATCAGTGTCTGCATGCAAGGGTTTAATACAGTGTAGGACTATGTCATAAGCTACCTTGGCAAGCTTCCATTTGAGTAGGTGAGTGAACCCGGTTTGCATGAACAGTTGTAGCCACCGGGAAAGTCATGCAGATGTGATCACAGCCTCCTTATTGTCCTCACACTCCAGGGTATATCTGAAGATTTGCTGGAATTGTTTGGAATGATGAAGTGGTAGCTAGTTTACCTTCATCAGCACAAACACCAGTATATCCAGGAGAGCAGTCACAGTCTCCAGTGGTGGTATTGCACATTCCATTGACACACGGTAGCTGGCATATCTCTGGCAGGGTATCGGGGATAAAGAGTTGTAGATGCAAGTTATACAGTGACAATCTCATTTTAACTGTCCCAGTCTTTGCCTGTCACTGATTTTTCTCCTCCCTCTCAGATAGAGCACTTAATATGTAACCTTAGGTAGTGAATGCCAGTTTAACACCTGCAACTCAGGACTATATAGCTACTTCTTATAAAAGAGTTACCGTTTGTGATAATTAGATACACTAACCAGTGTCATCAGAGCAGGGATCAAGGGTAGGACCACATGAGTCACAGCATAACGATCTACTACTGTCACTAGCCCGTGTCAGGCTCTCTGCTAGCTACAAGCAGGAGACCACGGATACTATTTGCAACCCACCCCATACTTTAGCGGTATACCGCAGTTCGGCCGTGAGAGTTTGCACTTTAGTGCTTTTCATTATGTGTTCTCCTATCTATGCACTCACAAATGCACAGAACACAGTGTGTAGGTAGGAAGATTTTCACAAACCGTTACAGACAGTAGATGGAGTTGAACATGGAGCTGTAGAAAGAGATAATGTGTTGTTAATCTTTGCTTCATACATCTCTTTTTCCTATACACAAGTACGATTTAAATTTTGAACCTTCTAACAACATACATAAAAGATTGAAATATTCAGATGGAAGCCCCTTTCCAACACTGTTTACCGCAGAGACCTGAAATGATAAACATCTAAGAAATTCATGGGTCACGAACTAACTGTTATATTGATGGACTCTGACGAGCAGGGGCAATCAGACGGTTGAACGACATAGAAGGTCCAATCATTGATAGTAGTTATTGTATTTTTTCGATCCACAGCAAGTGAAGGTCAGGGAGTAATTGGTGATGATTCCGTTTGGCTCCTCTGGAGGGTTCCACACCACATACGGATATGCTCCCTGCACACCAGTCACTACACTAGGCACTGAAAGAACAGATAGTTGGTAGCTAACAAACAATGCACAAAGAATGCTTCTCATGGCATACCAGCAGGTAGAGTAACGGCACACTCCATCACTCTCCTGAGACTCAACCCCAGATGATCCTGGTCACTGACTCCGTTGTGGGCAGTCACCCTAACACAGTACTTTGTGAACGGTTTGAGACCAGTGAATGTTCTAGTCCTTGACGACACACTGACGTAGACACTGCCAGAGAGCTTAAGTGGGTTACTGCCACTCCATTCCACCTGATAGTAGAGATCAGTCCTCCCACCGTCTTCAACAGGTTGTGACAAGCTAACAGTTAGGGTAGTGTTTGTTACGACGATTGACACATTCTGTGGAGCACTGGGTGGCTCTGAAAGAAACGATTATCATGTGATTCTTACAAATCCAGGTGTTTGCTTACTTGTACACTTGTGACTGGCGTCCTCGTTAATGGGGTCTTCAAACTGGACTCTGTCGGGATGGCTCGCAGTGTTTCTGAAGTAGCCCACTTTACAAGGGCAGATATGTGAAGGTTGCAGAGGAAAGGCAGTGTTTTCAGGACATGGCTGGCAATCTTCACCTGATCTAAACTGACCTAATGGACATGCTGAGAACACGGACAGCATTAAATATTAGCGACATAATTTGGGATACTCTTAAGCTTACCAATGCATTCTTGCTCATTTCCAGGTTTACACCGACACTCGGCATTACTCAATGTTTCACTGTTGCTACAAGCTACTAGTCTATATCTTGAGTTTGTGAACACCACATCTATTATGTTATTAGCAATTCTCTCAAGGTTGATGGCTTCAGAATGACTTGAAATGTAGAGGTAAGGTCCTTGATAATCTTCGGTAACATCACCAATTTTCTTCTGAAATGCTACATTAAAGGCTAAGGATGTGGGGTTCTCAGTCAGTATTGTGCTAAACGTGACAGTGCTGACTATGAATATGTTCTCAAATCCATTTCCCTTTCCACTTTCATATATCTCAACCAGTGTCTCCACCTACTCAAGTACACTATTGTACACTGCAATGGATCTGTTGTGTTCATCTCTAAATCTTATCAGGCTCATGTTTAGCTGGTCTCTTTTCTCAAGATACATTTCGTTTTCGAGCTCTGCCTTTCTCAAGTCGGTTTGAGCTGAAACCAGGGCATTCTGTGTGTCCAGAAACCTCTGCAGCAGTTCCCTCTCTTCCATAGTCAGACCCTCTGAACTGTTGAGTGCTCTTTGACGAGCTGACTTACAGACTCTGTTCCCGGTATGGCACGAAGAGCATGGTGCAATCACAGTTGGACATTGTGAAAGAGGTGACGGACTGGTGCACAGTTCCCCAGACATGCAAATGGACACACAAGGATCATCTCTGCAGAGACCATTCAACATTGCAACTATATCTCCAAGATTACCTCCACTACTTTGAATCTCTTTCTCTAAAGCCGTAAACTCTGCTTGTACTGTTTGAGTTGCATCGTATGCAATTGATTTTGATTCCTCTGTCCTCATAAGCTGTTTAACTACCTCATTGAACTGACACTCTGTAGCAGTAAGCATCTCCATTGATCTTTCTACGGCCTTTTGGGCAATTCTACGATGCACATGTCCTACATCAGCAAGGTCAGTCACCTTCATTATAGCAACTTCACTCAGTTTCTGTACGAAGCTGCCATTGCCTGAGAGTAGAGAACCGTCCACAGTCAATTCCAGGTTCTGCCAGTCAGTCTTGTTGGAAGGTGCAGTGATAGTCAGCTCCGCTGGATAGCCAAACACACTACCACTACTGGTGGAGATTGTCAGCTGATCATTCCTGACGGTGGCCTCTGACTCAAACACTCCTCCAAACAGAGTCACTTGTACTGAATGAAACTGAGAGACTGGTCCGGAATCCTCTCTTCCAAAGACAGTCACTACATCAGGACCTGTAGAGTTGGCCTGAAGTTCAAAGATGTTCCCAAGAGGCAAGCGATTGTTGACCAACTCAGATTCAATCACAAGAGCTGGGTCTGGAACTTCAAGGAAGTTACTAGTGAAGCAGTTAGGATTCTCTGATCCAATGAAGGTGATGGTGTGGGACATTTCAGGCAAGATGAGGTGTCCAATAGCAAGAAGAGGACACTCAGTGTGTAGACTGAGACCAAGAGCTCTGTAGTCACTGGTTATTGGCAAGAAGGCACTGAAGCTACAGCTCTGAGTGATCTCAGTGAATCGAAGAAGTCGTGTGAAGAACAGCTCACCAGTTGTGGCTGGTAACTTGCTGTCAAAAGATAATCCTGTCTGCTCTTACACGGATCCCCACCACCTACATACAACAAATAGAAAAGTATACAATGAAAGCAGAGAACCTCACCCTCGATGTGAAAATAAGCATTTGTCGTTCTGTCGTAGCTGCTGAGATGGAAGCTCTGCTCAGTTCCATCAATCATGCTACTAGCTACCAAAGTAATCTGGCCTTCCAGTGTTCCTTGTCTTTCCTGTCAGTAGCAAAAGCTAATACATTATTGACTCATGTGATAGATGTGCTTACTCTGTATTCAAATGAAGCATCTCCACTGAATTCCACCCTGAAATTGAGGCCACCCTCGTTAATTTGTAGTTCAAACTCTGTGTTAACAAAAATGTCTACTTGTATATCTGGCAGTGAAACCATCTCCACGCCATTCCAAAACATAGCACCACTACTTTGAGTAACAGGAAGTTTGAAGACTGACACAGTATTGAGGAGAATGTTCCACTGTCTGTCAGTGAACCCACGGAGATACTGGTAGACTAGAATGTCATTGATTGGCTGGGAGATCTGCATGTGAACTGGAGACTCTGATTCATGACACAAGTCAACTGCAAAACACATGACATCTCCAGTGGTCCCAGTCTCATTGTCCTCTCTGTAGTCATATCTCTGGCCATCTATCACTGCTGATAGAGTTTTGTCATATCTCAACACTGAATACCTACTACCTTCCAGGTTAGTGAGTTTGTCACAACCTTCAAGTGATGAGACTGGCTCACTGGGTCGAGTGACTGGTGCAAACATTCGTTTTTATTTGATCGTACATCGACTCTAATGACAGCGTAAATCTACAAACAGTTCCAACCAAGGTGGAAATAATGTCTGGATTTGATTGATGTAAGTGAAGGCCAAGGCTCTAGCTTGGAGAAATTCCACAGTGTCATCTGGTGTGTGATCATAACAGGAGCAATGGCTATTGGTACTGCTGCATTCATGGCAAGCTACACAGTCACCAATTTCTAGCCTTATGTTATTGGTGTAACGTCCAGAAACATCTCTGTATCTGAAGCTGGAGAGAGAAGTTGGTAGAGATAGGTTACTACTCTGAACAAACACGACACCAGCATCTGTTCTTGTAACACCACCACGTGTGGTAGTCCACTGACATGGTGATAGCAGTGATATTGTCTGAGTGGAGTCTCCAGGACAGGATAGTGTGACATGATCATCTGCACTGCAACAACTTGGCTGCAACAGTCCTCTTGTGAGATTGAACTGTTCAAAATGCGATGGTCTCTCGCTATCTGATCCGCCAGTTACAAATACGGCTCTCTCCCTTGGGAGGTAGATGACGCTGTCGGCATTCGATGGCAGACTCAGTCTGAGTATTCCTATTTTACCTCTGACTATTGTCGGAGTTTCGTCTCCTCGGTTTACATCTACTATTGCCGGCAATGCAACTGGTTGGGTAGGAACTTTATAGCAACTCTTTTTCTATCTTCAAATCCATCAGGGAGTTCATTAACGTTGGTGTACAGCACGATCGAATAAATACTCCATCAGTCACTGTGGATTGGGTGGGAAGTATACAATTACTGCTCCACAAGTCTGTCCACCATAACCAGTTGCAGTTCCATTGCATACACATCTAAACTCAGTGCCAGCCTCGATACAAGAACTACCATTCAGACAAGGATTTGTGTCACATAGACGACTCTCTGAATAGAAACATTATAAAGTACTTCCATTATAGCTTGGTGTATTTCCTAGTTGTGGACACTTTACACACAGGCCACTTTTGTTAAGGGAGCATGACACTAATGCCAGAATAAGCGCCGACACACACACACACCAGGTACCTTATAGCTAACCCTCGCTGCACATGCGCACCGAGGTTAAAATTGCAGAGCAGACTCACACACACTGTGGTCCATCACTCCACACAAGATTACTTGTGTTATCCTTTCTACATGTCTGATTGCTAGGACCCTCTAAGCTGTAGCCATGGGCACACACATCATGACACAGATGGCCCTCCTCTCTGGTACATGGGAACAACACAAATCCATTGTCAGGAGGTGTGAGGTGAGGGCACATTGGAGGGTCACATATGGCAGGAGGTTCCCTCCACTGGAGGGGAGGGGAGACAGGTCCGACTGTCTGGCCTCTCAGAGTGTAGCCTCATCACAGGTGACTGCAAGTCCCCCACTGTCTGTCTGCCACATTCCATCACACCATTCCGTGGAGCTTCAAGAACTGGATCACAACCGAGAGCTGTGGATGTTGCCATGTCAGAAACTGTGTCTTTTCATGCCCTTCGTTGTGACTTGTTGTGCCTTCAAGACACACAGAGCGAACGGACGCGGTCGAAGTAAGCCTGTGCTAATTTACATATGGCTGTTCACTTGATTTTCAACGCCATTACTTTAGAACACAGTAGTTTTAACGAAATCGGGCCTTTTTTAAAATCAACCCAGTGTAGCACTGAACCGATCAATGTCGCTATTTACCTGATTTCGTGCGCACGGTGCAGAAAACGTGTAACAGACAGACAGACAGACACACTTACGGGACAACTACCGTAACCCTCGCTGCGCATGCGCGCCGAGGGTTAACTACATGCTGATCAAAAGCACTAAAGTGCAAACCCTCGGCGAACTGCGCGTAATTTTTCGGGCTCCCGTAGCTCTGAATCCGCTAGTATCGGCGAACTGCGCATGCGCGCGATACTGCTAATTGATGGGCTGGGCTATTCATTCGTTGTGACTTCCTGAGCCCCCAAGGTACACAGAGCGAGCGGATCAGGTCGCGGTAGCCAGTGCGTTTGGCTTTTTTCAGGGCATATCTCTCGAACGAATCGTTTCAGAAAATCGCCTAATAATTTTTTCGGGCTCCCGTAGCTCTGAATCCGCTAGTATCGCTAATGGGCCGCCTCGTAGCCTGTAGTGCCAGAATAAGCGTCGACACACAGACAGACAGACTAGTGATATAAATGATAGAAACTTGTTTTTCACATACGGCGCATTACCTGCATTCATATGCAAACAGACATACGTATACTAGGTGTATGTGCGTGCCTAC